GTAAGTAACGTCTGTCGAGAGGCCAGGGTTACCAGGAGAAGGGGGTCCGAGTAAGTAACGTCTGTCGAGAGGTCAGGGTTACCAGGAGAAGGGGGTCCGAGTAAGTAGCGTCTGTCGAGAGGCCAGGGTTACCAGGAGGGCCCGATTTAGTAACATATGTCGATAGGCCGGGGTTACCAGGAGAAGGGGCCCGGGTAAGTAACGTCTGTCTGGGCTCGAGGAAGTATCGTCGCTCTAGAGCTCGTGGCTACAAGAATGTAATGCTGTGATTTTGTTAGCTGAATGATGTCAGCTTAGAAGATTGCTTGAATAAGTACTGTTTGTCACTAGGTTCGGGTAGGAAATGTCTATTTAGGTCAGGAATGGAGCTTTGGTAAGTAATGACAAGGCCGGAGTAACCATCAAAAGTTAGTTCGGATAAGTCACATCTGTCAAGATGCCGGCATTATCAGGCTCAGGAAAAGCAATCTAAGTTTGCGTTGATTCTGGAAGGATGTGTCGCATGGAAATTTCAAGGTATTTGATGTTCAAGGGAGTCGCTCATAAACACGTGATGCCATAGTGTCTGTTTGATATTAACGTTGCCTATAACGGGTGAGGTCGTGGTGTATAACACCTCGTATCGTCGTATCTTTAGGATTTTGTATGACATGTTGCTGTTGTAGCAATCTATTTTGCTCCATTATATATGTAGGCATGGCGACATCTACGGCGTCTGATTACCGAAACGATAGCCTCTCTGACACCTTGGGAGGTGAAAGTGAAAACGATCGAAAGTAAGTACCACGTTTTCAGAGCGATATCAAACATCAAAAATGGATTTCAACATGATAACATGACGAACCACAATTAACACATTTTATAGCATCAACACTCATAGAATTGATGATGTTGGCTTTGTCACTGTTGTTTGGCGTATCTTTACTTGTACAGCAGCGTTAGTGCTGTTCTATGCCTGTTTTGTATGGTCATTAGGTCATTTCGGGACAGTGGTGGCGTCCTACTTCCTGTTTCTGAGGTGGCTTATCTGGATCAACGTCGTTCTGACGCTTCTGCAAGTCTCCTTCGTCATTTTCCCGGAGGTAATATGCTATATATACTCCCTACAGCATTGTCGCCCAGTTGGAGAAGATATAGCTTGACACAGTGTCGCCAGATAACCATACGTCTCATCCAAAAATTCCATATTACATTCAGAAATGCATCATTATCGAGCTGCTCTGACTAGCATTAACTGCTTGGCTGTTGTCCTTTTATCTAACCCGTCTATGATTGTAAGTTATAACGTCTGCATTGCAGGCTCTTGCGCAGACGTCATATACATACCACCCTTTACATCTATATATTTAACTTGCTTAATGCGATAAATGTTTTTTTTTAATCTGATGTATCAATTATATTAATAACTGTTAATTAATGTAGGAATACTAGTATCCATGTGCTATAAAGTGCCTAAGAGTAATGTTACAAATTATATAGGGCGCTTTACAAATGTTGTATATCATTATTCTAAGTTATTGGAGTTCGTCTACTATACTGTGTGTTTGTCACCCTTCAGCTGATCGTTGGGAATGCACACGGAAGCCTTGGTCGTAAATCCGTTCCTGCATCAGAACAAGGGACATCAGAAGAACTGGAAACCATATGGGACGCTGAGGTAGTCGCTTCCTTTACCCTATGGTTTTAACTATGTACGATAAGAAGTAGATAACCAAATGTTTTAAGTCACTTATAACATTCTTTAAAGCAGATAGAACTGACTGCAGCTGTCATACAGCGTATATGCATCTAGATTTCTGGGCTATGGAATAGTGATCACTCTTGATGTGTATGTAGCTACGGTGTGCGTGTAATGTTTATGGTGTTTTTTCTGTTTCCGGTCCAGGGGATAGTGAAGTACTCGGTGGTGTTTTACGGGTACTACGGCAGTGAGCGAGTGATTGGCCAAGGTTACCGACTTCCACTCGCCTACCTTGTCACCGGCTTTGCCACCTTTGCCATCAGCTTCATCGTGGTCCTTAGAAAGTAGGATCTTAGTCCTGTATGGTAATAGTTACCGAACCACGTATTTACCATACTTCTGCATTACTAATTGTGGTCATCGGGCAGTACTACTAAAGTTAACTGACGATGTAGATTTTCAATATCAGCGAACATACGATTTATATCACAAAATATATGAACGTGTTTAAACATTTCAAAGATTTACACTTTAAATCAGTTACGAACTAAGATTTTTTTTCGCAGAATGGCTTCAAATTCCCGAATAAGTCGGCTATCCAATAAGGACGAGCAGTTCATCTTCTCCTGGCGGCTGTTCTGTAGCTGGGACTTTACCATAGGCAACACAGAGACCGCCACCACCAAGGTCGCCTCTATAGCGACAACATTCCGGGTAGGTACGACACCATGGAAAACATACCATCACCACTATAGGGGGCGCCTCTAAAGCGACAACATTCCGGGTAGGCATGACACCATAGGAAACATAGATATCAACACCACCAGGGGCGCCTCTTTTGCGACAACAATAAGGGAAGGAGTGAAACCATAGGAAACATAGATATCACCAGCACCAGGGGCGCCTCTAGAGCGACAACATTCAGGGTAGGCGTGAAACCATAGGAAACATGGATATCACCACTACAAGGGGCGCCTATATAGCGACAACATTCAGGGTAGGCGTGAAACCATAGGAAACATGGATATCACCACTATCAGGGGCGCCTATATAGCGACAACATTCAGGGTTGGTGTGAAACCATAGGAAACATGGATATAACCACCACCAGGGGCGCCTCTTTTGCGACAACAATAAGGGAAGGAGTGAAACCATAGGAAACATGGATATAACCACCACCAGGGGCGCCTCTTTTGCGACAACAATAAGGGAAGGAGTGAAACCATAGGAAACATGGATATAACCACCACCAGGGGCGCCTGTAGAGCCACAACATTCCGGGTAGGTATGAAACAATGGAAAACATACCATCACCATTATAGGGGGCGCCTCTATAGAGACAACATTCCGGGTAGGTGTGAAACCATAGGGAACATGGATATCACCACCACCAGGGGGCGCCTCTGTAGTAAAACGAAATGTGGGACATGTAAAGCGTAAGTTGCCGACACCAATGACGTCGCAACAGCAACAGAATGTTGAATAGGTAGGCATTGATATCACAGGAGATGTGAATACCGCAGAATGGCTTCAAATTCCCGAATAAGTCGGTTATCCAATAAGGACGAGCAGTTCATCTTCTCCTGGCGGCTGTTCTGTAGCTGGGACTTTACCATAGGCAACACAGAGACCGCCACCACCAAGGTTCCCTCTATAGCGACAACATTCCGGGCAGGTATGACACCATAGGAAAAATAGATATCACCACCACCAGGGGGCGCCTCTGTAGTAAAACGAAATGTGGGACATGTAAAGCGTAAGTTGCCGTCACCAATGACGTCGCAACAGCAACAGAATGTTGAATAGGTAGGCATTGATATCACAGGAGATGTGAATACCGCAGAATGGCTTCAAATTCCCGAATAAGTCGGCTATCCAATAAGGCCGAGCAGTTCATCTTCTCCTGGCGGCTGTTCTGTAGCTGGGACTTTACCATAGGCAACACAGAGACCGCCACCACCAAGGTCGCCTCTACAGCGACAACATTCCGGGTAGGCATGACACCATAGGAAACATAGATATCACCAGCACCAGGGGCGCCTCCATAGCGACAACATTCCGGGTAAGTATGACACCATGGAAATCATGCCATCATCACTATAATGGGCGCTTCTCTAGCGACAACATTCCGGGTAGGTATGAAACAATGGAAAACATACCATCACCACTGTAGGGGGCGCCTCTATAGAGACAACATTCCGGGTAGGTGTGAAACCATAAGAAACATGGATATCACCACTATCAGGGGCGCCTATATAGCGACAACATTCAGGGTAGGTGTGAAACCATAAGAAACATGGATATCACCACTACAAGGGGCGCCTATATAGCGACAACATTCAGGGTTGGTGTGAAACCATAGGAAACATGGATATAACCACCACCAGGGGCGCCTCTTTTGCGACAACAATAAGGGAAGGAGTGAAACCATAGGAAACATAGATATCACCAGCACCAGGGGCGCCTCTAGAGCGACAACATTCAGGGTAGGTGTGAAACCATAAGAAACATGGATATCACCACTATAGGGGGCGCCTCTAAAGCGACAACATTCCGGGTAGGCATGACACCATAGGAAACATAGATATCACCACCACCAGGGGGCGCCTCTGTAGTAAAACAAAATGTGGGACATGTAAAGCGTAAGTTGCCGTCACCAATGACGTCGCAACAGCAACAGAATGTTGAATAGGTAGGCATTGATATCACAGGAAATGTGAATACCGCCACCAACATCACCCGCGGATTAAACTTCCAAATATAGGCAACGCTGAGATCGCGATTAACAGGAGCATCTCCACAACAACAAAGTTTTGGGTAGGAAAGACTTGCGCAATAGACAAAGAGTTTCTCCATAGCATTAATGATCAAGGTAGGTAGGTCTTAAACAGTACGAAAGTTAAGATCGACTCTACGTTTCTAGTCAGTTTTCTGATAATGTTCCTAAAGGCCCTCTTCATCAGACTCTATTGCATAGCTCCTATTCTTGTTGGAACTTGAACTCCTCGCAGAGCACTGTCCATACCTCGAGCGCTTCAATAGTATCAACATTCTGGAAGGTTTAGTACAATAAACGTTGTTGCGGCAGATTCCATTGACACGAATACATACATGATGATAGTATGTGCATTATATATATACCGGAATATTTATAAATCATATATGAACTTCCTCCTTTTTTCAGGAGGCCATATTGGAAGAAAAAGAGAAAGAAAAATCCGAAAACAAGTGGGTGTTGTAAATTGTTACAATTTCTAAACATACATTATAATATGATTCTTCTTTTCATTTTTCGTTATAAATAACTTTCGGCTCCTCTTGATAAAAAGGCGGATTGCCTCTAAAAAATTGACAAACTTCATTGTCTGCAATGCTGCCGTTACTTCTCTGCTGGTATGTCAATTGAAGTATAATACGCATTCAACAAACACCAGTGTGTCCGGATCCAGTGTCCGTATTGGACAGTATTGAAGTTTGGCCTATGAAAACTATATCTATGATTTGATACTGTTTTGACAATATATCTGTCTCATGTGTTACCTACTCCGTGAACAAAAATAATTGTTTATCTTCTCTGAGTTCTCGAGAATCTGGTTATTAAGTGACGGACAAATACGTCATTCGGATTTATTTTGGAAACCAAAGTGACCTTACTAACGGAGTTTTACAGATACCGATTGCTGGCGCTGAGGGCCCTCGCTAACGTCTGTGTGCTACTGATGTTAGGTGCTAGCACGTACGCCATACAGCTCTGTGTGGAGAGGTCCCGTCAACTCGACATCCGCAAACGGCGAGGCCATGTCGTCACGGGATTCTGGCAGGAAAACGAGGCAAGCAACCGCGCATTATATATATGTGTGAGACAAACAGAAGTGTATAGGCAAGCAACAACTCACAACAAAATGAGTATCACATGCATTCTTATCATTGTTTTCTATCAAATGATCACAGGACTACAAGTTCTTCATCGCTACTTTTGTACTCCGTTATCCCTAATCTGTGTTTGTACGACTGCACTTCCTCACACTTTATTCATTTGACGAAACGACAATTTCTTCTCATTATATGTTTCTGTATATACACCTTTATCAGTTCGACCTTATTTATATTTTTGTCGATACGATTTAACAATTTGAACAAAGGATATTCCTTTGTTTGAAAACAAATCGTAGATACTCTTTGTTTCTTTTTGTCTGTTTGATTTTACCTTGTAACTAGTGTCGTATCGGTACGACCGCGGTAACCGGCTACTCATTCCTTTGTCGCTTACTCTTACGGACCACACGATCTGATCATTATTGTACGTTTTTCAAGGGTTTCTATAATAATCTTTCCTTTGTAAATCTTTTGAGACAGTTTTATCGATTCTGAGTTCGAATTACGGCTGTTCACACTACAGTATTGTCTTGTTCTTCTGTGTGATCATCAATTCTTACCTTTGATCTTGTTGTCTTTATAACCTATGACATTCCCCCTTCAGCTGACGCTAGTGATGACAATCATCTCCACGGTCTTCCCCAACTTTTTCGATCTGTTTGCTGTCCTGGAGAAGTACCATCCCCGGGTTACTCTACGGTGGCAACTAGCCAGGTAGGGTAACATGTTCTTCTTCTTTATACGAGGGCTCCATCAGTTTGATGATTATGCCATCGGGGGTCCTATTGAAGAGGCGTGAAGGGGTTATTTATAGTGATTAGGGGTGGGGTTTTGTTTTTTTGTGATTTTTTTGTGTGCAAGGTATAGATAAAAAGTTAAAATCTGGTGTATGTACTAGTGTGTGATGAGGGCTTCAAGGGCTGTGTAGGGTAAGTGTGCCTTGAAGTCCTCTAGTGTTGTGCATTGGACTGCTGCTAAGGGGAGGAGATTCCAATGTGGGAAGAATGAGTATTTGTAGGTGTCCTTTGTAGTATGTGTTTGTATGCGTACGGGTGTACCTGTCTGGAGCGGGGGTCTACAGGTGTGAGTATATGTGTTGGGTTTAAAGCTACGGTTCTGTGTATAATTTTGTAAAAAAAGGATAATTCTAGTGTATATGCGTCGTGTTTGTAGTGTTGGCCATTGAAGTGTGTGGATCATGTGTGTTACGGAACTAGTGTTGTGGTATCTGTTTTGTACGTAGCGTACTGCTCTTTGTTGTGTTTTTTCTATTTGTTTAATTTGGTTTGTGTTGTGTGGATCCCAAATGGAAGAGCAGTATTCAAGTTTAGGCCGAACTAGTGCTTTGTATGCATGTTCTTTTATATGTGGTGAGTTTATTTTCAGGTTGCGTTTGAGAAAACCTAGGGACCTATTGGCATTGGCTGTGATATTGTTTATGTGTTTGTCCCATCGTAGGTTGTTTTGTAGTGTTAGTCCTAAGTATTTGCTTGTTTCTACTTTGTGTAATGTGTGGTTGTGGAGTTTGTAATCATGGTGTATTTTGTTGCGTTTCGGTGTAATGTTAAGTATGTTACATTTGTCGGGGTGAAATTGCATTAACCAGTCTGTCTCCCATTGTCCTGCTGCATCGAGGTCGTGTTGTAGTTTTAATGTGTCTTCTTTGTTGTTTATTGTCTTGTATATTATGCTGTCATCTGCAAATAGTCTAAGTGTGCTGT